TTGGTTGTGCTCGGACGTAGCTGACTCTCAGCAGCTTTGTAGCGCTGTGTAGATCCTTGTAGTTCTTGAGTAGCGCCATGGACGTCGGAAGTCGTTCCCCGGCACAGCAACCCAACGGAAAAAAGGGCAAGTGGCAAAATGCTCACTTACCATCAGGCCAGAATGCAAGCTGACCCATTCTTCTTTCGGCGTTTGGAAGATTGCAGAGCCACGTGCAAAGCATGCGGGGTGCACCGCGCATGCATTGCATCATAGCGTGCCAGATCCTCCAGCATCTTGGACAGGCATGCCAAACTGCAGACCACCCATACCCCTGTGCTCCGGACAGTTGAAGTCAAGTAATCCATCCTCTGTGTCCACAGGATCCAGTCCGTTTGGGCTTGGTGCTCCACTACCATCTCATCATCATCATCATCATCATCACCATTTCTTGCAAGAATTGAACCATCCCAGATGTTGTAACCCAGCCTTACACGACAGCAAGGTGAATCGCCAAACCACTGGAGTCAAGATGCTGACTGGAATCTCACCCTACCCAGGTTTGTGCAGAGCACTGACAGCCTTTCCCACCCTAACCTTATCTGCAGGTGCTTTTTTTCACCTGCTCAGCAACCCCTGTATCTGCATAACGGCAAGGGCTTCAGCCTTCAGCCTTTGCACAATCAGTGCAGGTCGGGAAGATTAAGCGTCCACTACTGTCGCCCGCATTGGGCTTTGTCCGTGTGTGCAACCTGTTGTACATACAGGAATGGCGTCACTCCCGAGCTGTATAATGACTATTCACTATTCGATTGCTTTGCATGTTGCTCTTCACAATTCAGTGGCCGGATCGCACCAGCAGGCACTTGCAAAGCTGAGAAATAAGTGGAGCCGTCGGCTCTTTGAACATTATTTGAAGTGCATTTGTTGAGTCATCACCATAGAGTGATGCCGCAGGGGGCCCGGTGCTCTCCCTGGGGGTCATTCGCCAACGAAGACACACCCAGGGAGGGGTGCAAACGCACCTTTTTTTTCCATCTGGGCTCCATGGACTGCCAAAACACAGAGCACGGACTCTCAGCACTCATGACTGAGGTTTCACACTTCAATCAGCCACGACGCGTCAACTTCCTCAACCAGTACGACCCACGAGCTATCCTGCAACAACGCCCTAACATGCACCTGATGCCACAACGCGTTTGCACCTGCCGTACCTGTTCGGCTCTGCCAGCAGCCCTGGACCCGTCGTGGTAGCTGGGTACTGGTGACGGGAGACCTTAACGTCCCGTAGGTCCCCGAAGACGATGGCATTTCCTTTTCCGAACAGCCTACATGATCATGATGACTTTGAGATCTATTTCTTAATCCAACGAGCAAGCACGATCCGAGGCAATAGAATAATAAGGTCCTGTCTTGAGTTCAGAGCTTCTGCAAGTGCCTCGTCAGAGTGTGTGTATGCGTGTGCGTTTGACTACCTGCAGTGGCACGGTACAGTTTACATTTGCACACACTACACGATTGCATATCGTATCCACGAAATAACTGTCTCATTCAACGAAGCGAGGTGGACAGTAGGGAGGGGATGCTTCCTAATAAGAACTTATTCGTCAACTAAATTGATTTAACTCCGCCGAGAACTAAGGAATCGAACGTGACAACTTTCAACCTAAACCCTAAACCCAGGAGCGTGGCAAGGTTCTCTTTTTGCAACGGTGGCGCCTTGTACTGGCTCCTTTTTTGGTTCCCAAATACGTTTGTTTGAAGCTTCGCCGCTAGTATGTACCCCATGTATCCCAATGTTTGCTTCTTGCTTATCGAGCCAAGGTCTTAGGAAGAACAGCGTGAAGCTCGGGGATATGAGTCCCTGCGCTCCACGCTGGTGTACATGCTTCCCTTAGTACAATCGTAATCGCAAATCGAGGAACACATCGTTTCCACAGTCCAGGCCGTCTACGAGAATTTGACCTTTGTAGGGCCTCTGATCTGAGAAACTCTAAACCCTACATAAAAATCCTATATAATCCCCTATAACCCCCTTTAACGGAAGCCCTAAATCCCAAATATATGCCCCTATAAGTTGGCAGTTCTGTATTCATCTTCTGCACCAGCAGCCTTCCACGTAAGCTTAAGCCCACCTCCAGCAGATGAAAAAGACAGAATGCGCGCGGTTCAGAAGGTTTAGTTAGGGTGTAGGGTTTGGGGTTTAGGGCTTCGGGTATAGTGGATTTCCCAACTTAAGATTCCATCTATCTTAATGACCAGCCAACATCCCTAGACCCCTTGCGCCAAATCCTAGGGGGTAGTCACCAAAACACGGGTCCTCGGTTCAAGGGCCAGTTCGGAAACCCTAAACCCTACGTAAGCCCTAAGGGCCTAAACCCTAAACCCCAAATACTAAACCCCCGCAACCCTAGGACAAGAAACACAAAAAAGGGGAGCCAATGGACAGAGTACCGGGGTTTGGGGAGGTTTCATAAACTTACTGGGGGTTAGTAGGGAATATGGGAATATCTTCTAGGGTTAGTTATGTGCCAGGGGTGGTAATAAGAAAATTTCCCCTGGCCAGGGAAAAACATGAGATGTAATCAGTGTTTCTAAGTCGATGTTAATTGCGAACCTCTTGTTTGCTTGATATACCCTATGCACATATTGGCGGGTAGGGTGTGATTTTTATAAAGGAGTGATAATGATGAAATTCTCCGGCCTAACAAGCCGCAAAAATCTTGGCTCGCAATTGAAAGCGAATCAAAAGAATGCAAGAAAAGAGTTAAACCCTAAACCCTAATGCAAAAGAAGAGTTGCTTTTACTCCTACTCCTACTCTCGAAAAGCTCAGGCCCCAGAGCTTTTACTACGATCTCCAATTTCCCGAACCCTTGTTTTGAGATTGGTCCGCCAGGAAAATTCGGGGGGGGGGGGTGTAATGCAATGAGCCTAACATTAAGGATCAAATTATGGGGATTACATCCCCACACTCCGTACTAATTTTTAGTAAGTGAAGGTCCTGTAGAGCTCATGTAGCAGTAAACCCTAAACAAACAACCTGTCCTTGCTGCACCACACAAAGCCGCGGCAGAAGAGCGCAACCGCCCGAAAGATCCCTGAAGGCGCGCCAACCCTGTTCACGTCCTGGGCTCTACAACCCAGACGCGGCTTAGGGTTTAGGATTAGCCCTAAACCCTAAACCCTAAACCCCTATGCCCTAGTTTAGGGGTTTAGGTTTGAGAGGCATCCCAAAATTGAAACCTCAATTTGTGGCCCGACTGGTATCTTAGAAGCTAGGGGACTAGTGTGAAGTTCCTACTGTAGTTGCCTTGATAGGGGTATATGGGTTTAGGGTTTATGGGTAAATAGTAATTAAGTACTAGGGCTTCCTGCCTTACATTGCCCTTAGATAAACCCTACTTCTGGGGTCTGGACGCGGAGAGCTAGAGCCCCTGGTCTCAATGGTCATGACTCTTTGCACGTCATTTTTCCTCTAGCTGAAGGTTTTCCCGGCTGTTGGACTTCTTGGCTTCCTGTTTCAAACAGGGCCCCTCACCTATGATCGTTGTCGATATGATACCATAACCACGACACACAGAACTAAACCCTAAACCCTCAACCCTGAACCCTAAACCGTATAACCACCATCAGGACCATCCCTATTAAAACCTAAACCCTAAACAATCATGAGAGTTGGGGAACGAAGTATGTGCCTGCAGCAGAGATGCTGCCCTTGCTTCCAGAAGCACCCTGGCCACCTGAACAACATGGATTCGCAGTTGAGGGTTTTGGGTTACATAAGGATGTGGGTGGCATGGGAGCATCCATAACTTGATCCTGGGGCCAATACGTGACAAGGCAATTCTCGGAAATCCCCTGTCCGGAGTGTAGTTCTAGAATCAACTTCCAAAACTTCGGTTAAACTCGATTGCCTCCAGTTCACACTTGGCCAATGTCCTTCTGTTGATCGCATGGTCTTAGTATATCATAACACCATAATTCCAAGGGTATGAGGTTCTGAGGGTCATGCAGGATTTTTACAATCCATCGTATTGCTTTACGCCTTCCGGGCCCGGCGTTTCTTGAGCAAAGCAGATACAGCATGCTCTGACTATATGAAAATGCTCAGCCGGCCATAACCCGCATCTGGAAGCAAGCAGCCCACTATCAATCCAGACGAATGACCCTAAAAGCCCCAAACCCTAAAACCTGACAAAAGTCTAGAAACTGGGTTCAGTTGTTTGAAGTTGTGCTGGTGCGGCACCTGCATCATACATTACCCACCAGCATAGCTAGCAGTTTCAATGAATAGGGGCACGCAATATAGAGCCATATACTATAACCCCTAGTATGGGGACTTCCAAAACAGGCGCCCCCAAATTAGCTAAGCCATTATAACCAGACTACGGCGGACACTAGAATCCTGCACAACCTTAGTATACTATAGTAACATAATTCCCGAGGTATACGGTATAAGGTGCTTATGGTAATGCAGGATTTTTAGTATCAACCGAAATACAGGGGCCTAAATATTCACCAATATCAGAGGTCCATTTGAGGTACCATATACTATAAGTATACAAGGAATATGGAACCATAATTTTGGTAATTATTCAATTTAACCCCAATATAAACCTAATATACTATATATATATTATAGTATATTATCCATGCTCTTTTCCATTATCCCCTATATTATATGTATATATAGTATTGGTAATCATTTAGGCCCCTATATTAGGGGAAGAGGTGAAGAGCCACCTTGGCTCCCTGCGTTTTGCCGTGGTAGAACATGCTCAAGTGATGCAGGGGGGGATATCCCCACGCCCCCGTTTACGGGGTTGACCTGCAGGAAGCTCATCAAGCGCAAGACACCTAAACTAAGCAACAGACTCCAGCTGACGAATGGCGCCAGGATCCCGAAAATGATCCAAGAATGCTGAAGAGGCATAGGATTCTTATCTGTTTGTTATTATTGCTAGCATGACTATTCTTATTAATATTACTATTATTACTATATTCCTCCGTTGAGGGGCACTAGGAAAGCTTGAGTCTGATGCTCACCCAGAGCATGGACAGGAACAGGCGGCATTTGTGCACACCCGCACTGAAGTGCTGGGCCTGTGCTCGAAGCTCCAGCAATCGCGTTGCAACTGCAGGAGGCGCGCCTGTGTTTTCTACACTTTGTATAAATGTATACATATATATATATAAGATACATATCGCTCCGAAAAATCTACACTATAATTTCAAAGTCTACAAGTCCCAACCCCCCATCGTCTCTTATGACGAATGAGTTTTTGCGGATTAGCTGCACAAGCGGCTTCGCATGTCCCTTATACCAAATTCCGTCTGTCGGAAACCTGCTATGCTATTTATTCACCACTTCTTTTTCTGATTGAGGATGGGTGGCACTTGTTTGAGGCAAGGAAACAATTTGCAGAAATTCATAATGCCGGAGCAGCATCAAATCAAACAGGTGCAGTTATCACAACTTTGTTCTGCTGCGACTCCACTGACACAGGCTTGTAATACCAAGGCCACCCAGGGCCATCAAGAGGCAACTGGGGCCGCCACTTCGAGCACCACACCACAGAGTGGAGATGTGTTGGTTGGAGGCTTCACGAAATTGACATCGGCCCTGTACCTTGTCTAGTGCAAGCCCCATCTCTGGCACAGCTGCAGACAGAGAGAGAGAGAGAGAGAGAAAGAGACGGGACAGACAGAGACAGAAAGGGACGGAGATGGAGGCAGAGGGCGAGGGTACATTCGTTGAAGCGCTCACGACCGAAAGACAAGCATCAGATGCATGTGAGCAAGAGCAAAGCACGGCAAGACGATGCATCAACCTCTGTGCTCCCCAAGCCGCTGGACAAGAAGCTCAACCTGGATTGCTGTTAAGGAACTTAAACTAAGTTACCATAATTGGTGTAGGTATATACATATCTATAGTAAATAATTGGGTTTCCCCAAAATAGTAACTTAAGTTAAGTTCCTCAACAGCAACCCAGCAACTGCTCGTTCATGTTGGCAGTAGCACAAGACGGAGCCGCCATTCTGCTCACAAGCATTGGGATCACTCCTCAGTATCAGAAGCTCCTCTAAGACCTCCACACCTCGTGAGCCCTTGATGGCGGCCAAGTGGAGAGCCGTACATCCTGCCGGCAATGCCATTTCCCATAACTCTGGCATCTTCATGTCGAGCTGCGCTCGGCTCCTTGCCAAATATCTTAGCATACCAATGTCTCCGGACAAAATGGCGCAAGCAACTGCTGTAACCCCTTTCCGCTGTTTGGCAGACTTCTCCAGCGAAGCGATGTGAAAGTTCGAAGCAAATGACTCTGGGGTCCGCGTTGCTGGCGGGGTGCCAATAAAGTCTTCATACCTTCCTGAAAGGTACCTGAATACGTTGAGGTGCTTGCGTTTGCCAGCAAGCTGGCCCAACTTGGCTTCCAATGCTGCATGTGTAATGCGGCAGCAGACTTCTCGATCAGCTTCAACAGTGAAGTTGCCTTCAGGAACTGGGGCATCCACCCACCTGAAAGGAACGAAGAAATCCACCTTGTCCGTACCTGAAACCTCAACCAACGGCACATCTGACCTGGATGACAAGATCTTGCACCACATCTCAGTCCTGCGCAGACATATGGCAGGGCAGCTTACAAAAACAAGTGCCTTACATCTGCACTAGTACAACAACAAAAGGCAGTACAACAACAAAAGGTCCTGCACCAACCTCGAGAAAGCCATGTGGAAAAATCGCACATGTCTCCAAGGTCGCAATGCCTCAGCCTAGGAGTAAGTGCCACAAAGACATCGCAGACCTCCACATAGTTGGGGATGGATTGAATGCACATCGAGCAGTGCTGCTCCACCAGCGCCGTCTCAGAATGAGTGGCTACGCTTATTTGAGGCACGGAGAACCTCGGGTATTCAGGCCCAATCCTACTGGATGGACCCTGCCGACTGCGCGGTTGAGTATGGCATGTGTTGTTCCTTGCTGACCATGACTGGGTGCATACGCATGGGGCCGAAATTTGAGTGCCTTAAGTGAAAATCGGACTGTGCATTCTTTCGTGCCGAGTGGCCAATCTATCCACACATACCCATGTTCAAGCTTCCTCCGGTCAGACACGGAGAGCCGACGATTCTTCCTCACTAGCTTTGCCAGCTTCCACCCCTAAAGAAACTGACCAAAGCCACCAAATTGTTTCTTGCTAGAAGCTTCCATGTACTGTCAGGCTCACTTCTGGATAGGAATGTTCCAAACAGACACGCTCAACCCTGGCTTTGCGAGCTGGAGTATCCCGTGAAACTGCGAAACGATGTCCATCTCGACCTGCGCTTCAGGATAAGTCGGGCCGGATGCTTCAAGGTTTGAGAGAACGGCTTGTAAGATCATGCTAGCTGTATTTGGAAGAGCTAACAATAAAAGCAGATCTGCGACTGGTATCGCGCACATCCCCTCTGGGTTTAGGGTTTAGAGTTCCCCAAAATACGGGGTACCTTTCGGGGTCCCTATAATAAGGATTACAGTATATTAGGGTCTGGACTGAGGTCCTCCTATTTATGGAAACCATTACATTGGAGTTTCTATCCAAAAAAAGGCGTGCCTGAGGGATGCTAAGGCCTGGCGCCAAGGGATATGTGGTAATTTCCCAAAATAGGGGACTGCTACCCCAATACAGATCGCAAAATACTAAAATCCTGCTGATAGAAACCCCCACAAAGGCACCCCTAAATTTAGGAAACCCCCAGATGTGGAGAATGTAAAGGGCATATGAACTATAATCTAAACTCCTAGAATCCAATAACCCCCATAGTAGTCCCCTAGCTAATCCCCTATATAACCCCCTTTTTAAGGAGTTTAGGCTATAACTCATATGGGTGGTTGTCAAAATTATGGTCCCTTTTTGAGTACCCTAAATATTAGGTGCCGTATTATAATAGGGATCCAAAAAGTGACCATAATTTTGCCAACCACCCATATGAGAGCGGACCTTCCCTGACCCTAAACACGTTCGGGCCGGCCTGCACACTGCCGTTGATGATGCCCCGAAGGGCACCTTGCAACCTTGGTCTAAGCTCCTAACCCAGAGGGTCCATGTACCCAATAATTAGGTCCCTTTAAAGGGGGTATATAGGGTTTAGGGTTTAGGATGCAGGGTCCATGTACCCAATAATTAGGTAACAGTGATTATAGAAAAGGTTTTGGGTAAGTACATTCTTTTTTTAGTAATGTTGGAC